GAGATCTCAGTGATGCTTAAAAAAGAATAAATTTAACATGAAAACAGTGATTTTAAGTCTGGTTAGTCTGACTGTAAGTCTGATTAGTTAGAGTGATTAAATTAACTAGGTATATACCGTAAAATACGTTGATTTTTGTCTAAATTTTGATTTTTGATTTCTGTAAGATTTTCTTATTTTTTATTAACCCTCAATACCGAAATAATCCCGGGATCGAATAAGTATAATCCCGAAATCCTGGGATTAGAAATAAGGACCGGGATCGAATTCCCTAATTGCACCACATTACTTCTTGCTGCCTGCAGTTGGCTACACTTAGTCAAGCATATTATCAGCAAAAAAATCAACAAGGCAGCCAAGGAAGTAAAATCCCTGACTTTTTTTTTTTTTAACAATTTTTAACAAATTTCCTGACATTCCATGACTTTTTCTGAACACTAATGAAAATCTTTGACTTTCCAGGTGTGTAGGAATCCTGTAGATTTGGAATACATCATCTTAGGCATAATGAAATTCTCAATATCTGCACATACATTGTAGAAAATTTCAAAATTAAAAAATCTGTCCTGACTTCTTTACTAGGATTACCTGCTAAAGATGTCAGGAAACAGTTCAGTATCACCACAGAATTCTAATGACATCATACTAGATATTCCTGATATAATATATACATAGTACGATCCAAAAGTTTGGGGACTTGGCTTAAAATTCCTTACCTTAAAAAGTTTATATTGCCGATGCATAACCACCTTTAAAGTAATCACCTTGGGCAACGATACACTTTTGCCAGCACTCATATAACTTCTGGAAGCACTGCTGGAAGCCATTTTTTGAAACCTCCTGTAAGGCCTCCTGCAATGCTGCTCTCACCTCATCTGATGACACAAAACGGCATCCCTGCAAATGATTTTTCATTGATGGAAACTAATAAAAATCACACAGGGCTATGTCCGGTGAATAGACGGGGTGTGGAAGCACATTAAATTGAGTTTTGGCGAGAAACTGTGTGATCATTTGGGACCAATGTGCAGGTGCATTGTAATGCAGAAGGTACCAGTCTCCACTTTTCCAGATCCATTTACGACAAATGGATTCCCTCAAACAACATAAAATGTCTAGATAATGCTCCTTGTTTACTGTTCTGCCTTCGGGAATAAATTCTGAATGAACAATTCCCTGAGAATCAAAAAACACCTCCATCATGACTTTTCCTTTGCTCAGTGCATGTTAATATCTTCCGTTAAAATATGCTGGCAACTAGTCTTTGATAAGTGATTAGCCGCAGCGATTTTTTCAAGGGTTTGGCAATGATCTTTACGAACACATTGAGAGACCAACTCAACATTTTCCCCGTTCTGTGAAGTTTGAAGGTCGGCCAGAGCGTTCATCATCTGCGATGGATTCTCAGCCCTCTTTAAAATGCCGATGCCATTTATACACCTTTGATTTCACCATGGTAAAATCACCATATACCTTTCTTAGCAATTTTAAAATCTCCATAGGTGTTTTACCTAAACGCTGACAAAATTTAATGTTGCAGCACTGTTCTTGAAACTCCATTTTTATTACGTCGCAAATCAAAGGTAACTATCTCCAAAAGAAAACAACAGCACTCGTGGTTTAATCACGTGACATGGGTGAAACCAACCTGAACACGTAGAAAGGTTTGATAGAATCAATTTCATATGCTGTAACTTCAAATACATGCTTTTGTTGTCATACATTACTGCAGTCCCCAAACTTTTGGATCGTACCACATATATACTCAATTGAAAGTGGATAATTAAAATAAATTACTGGACTATTACTAATTATATTAAGAGACTAATTACCATATTATAGTAATGAAACTATTTCAAATTATTCTTTATTATCTTTTTTTAACTTTATATATCAGTTTTGTATTATGAAATAACTGAAAACTGATTTATTGTAAGTAGTTATTAAGCATTATTACTTTAAATAAATGTTCAATATCTATTATGCTCATTGTCAATTCTGAATTTGTACTGTAAAATTAAAGTATTTATATTCATTGACACAAGTCTCAAAGTCCCTAAGCATATCAATGACCTTGCTGCTGAAGGATGTTAGCTTTTGTGAGAGAGAAATTTCCTGTCTTCCACGTCCATTTTATCTTTCATCTCTTCAACTGTAATGAATATCTTTTCAAATGGCTTTTACAGAACACTAAAGATATAAAGTCAAATGATGAGTAATCAATGTTTATAAAGATTTTCTGAATACAAGAAAACAAAATTCTAGTTACTTCTGATTATATTACAGTCGACCCCCCTATAATTACGATTCCTATAAAACTACGAAAAAATTGTGACCGATATCCGTAAAAAACAGTAAAAACCCCCTGTAATTACCTCAAACGTCATCGGGCAGCCGAACTACTTTCCCGCCGTCTGTAGCGCCACGCTATGGAGAGATTTCTATCATCTGGACAGTTTTATATAAATTATATATAAATTAGGTACTGTATATATAATTATATATTAACTTATTGTAACTTTGTTATAATTAAATATATAATTTCCGCCGTCTAGCGTGGCGCCACGCTACGGAGATTTTTACGCTAACTATCGTCTGTCAGTATGTAAATTAGGTACCGTAAGTCTAATACAGTACTGTAATTTTATACATTTCTTGT